GTAAGTATTTACTTTTCTACATTCTTTGCATTTCATTTCGACTCGTCTCGTTCTTCCTTATCTTCTATCGAGTCGGATGAAACGCTTTCCAATGTTATCGCTCCCTTCACTGGCCACCAACACGTTCTAGTTTTTCTTTTTGTGATTCTCGGAAAAAGTTCATCGCGTTTGCATTCCACCGCTTGTTCTCGCTTCCCGACGAAACACGAGGCAGAAGGCTTCTCTCTCTCTCTCTCTTTCTCTCTCTCGAGGCTCTCTCCTCAGGTTCGTTCCATCTCTTTTTTCTTGGAAAAACGGTTTTCTTGTATTCTTCACGAAAAGATACATTGGAAACACGTGACTGGACTGCGTAGGTGGTCCTACGGTGGAGATTGTGTTACACGAAAACTCGTACGCTACTTTCCTTTCTATCTACCTCGCAACCTCGATCTTTTTCCACTCGATATTTTTGTTAGAACGATAGTAAACGATAGTAGAAAATACGAAGCTCGTAGCAACTCGTTTTCCGCGTTAGAAAGTTTGGTTGGGTTTCACTTTTCGATCGTTTCACATGATGAAATGTGTGTTCGTTCCTCTGTTCCTCCTTTATTCTTTTCTTTTTTTCTCTTTTTTTTTTTTTTCTTTTTTTACACGGTCTTATCACAAAAGGAAGTTGATAAAAGAAACTAAATCAAAACGTCGAATGAAGCCCGACTATGAAACTTCCTCCTTCCACAAAGATGATGTTTATTCTTAGTTGTGTTGACAATTTTTCGAAGTCAGCAAAAAAAGGGTGAAAGACGCTATCGTTTACGTAAATTTATGCTTTATCCACGAATGATTCTGATACGATAAAATAATAATATTCCTAAACGCTCATATTTTAAATTTCGAAACGATAATATAACGTATACTTTTATTACATCCTGTTGTAGAGAAGGAAAAAATCCATGTAAGTAAATATTACGAAACGATAAATATCTACTGTTGTCTCTTCTTTTGGCCCTTACGTTAGACACGTACTTATTCATTATTTGAATTTTTTTTCTTTTATCGCTCTGTGCTGCAATGTAAAGTAGATATCTCTTCGTATCTCTTTACGCATTCCATTATCTATCACATCTTCATTCAGCTTTATTATTGCTATGACGTGTAATTATTCTGTATACACAGTCGAACGGTTTACAGCAATACAGTAAAATTTCACGGATATTTGTCTTTCTCTCATTTTATCTACTATCGTCCCTAACCACTATTATTCTTCAAACATTACCCTCGCAAACTTGCTTAACGATAAAAAAAGATTTTGTAACGAAACTATATTATATTTAGGGAAATTTTAAAATTAAATAAATACATAGAGTTCTCGGAGAAGAAGAATTTTCCCTCTATAATATATAACCAGGTAAGGAAATTTTCACCCGGAGGAAATTCATTACCGCGTGGAGGAAAATAAAAGTTAAAAAAAGCGTGGGGTGAACGAGAGACCCTTCTTATATTTACAAGATGTTCGAAAGGCGACGACGAGGCCCAGTACTATTATATACGAACGCAGGTGTCGATGCAGATGTTGCTGTACAGCAGACGGTGCAACACTAGCGCGTACGAAAATTTTAATGAAACTTTTACGAATCTACTAATATTTAACATTCAAAATGCCACAAGTGTCTTCTTACAAGTATATCAGTTTCGTGTATATTCTCCTGCATCCAATTATTGTCTCACGTTCGACGTATACGACTTAATATTCGTATTCGGGACTAATATTTACGTATTGATAATTAGGAAATTTGGATTGAAATACCGATGGATCGGGCGTATCGTTGTTGATGGAACAGGTGTAACATCGATTCAAAAGATTCCCTCTCTAAATTTAACATGTTTTTACCAGATATTCCGTTTATAACTCGATGTAGCGGAAACGTTGGTTTTCTTTTTCGTTTCAGGTAGAGGTCGAAATGTTGTGATGGCCGGGACATCTCGACGTCCGAGCTCTGAGCTCGGACCAGACCTTTCATCCCCCACGCCACCCAAGAAATCGAAATTCTCCGAGGCCTCGATCGAGGGAAGATCCGAGAAGGAACATGACTTGAGCACGGAGGAATTGGAGAGCGTGGAGAAATTGTCGGGTACGTCCTCGTTACCTGAGAACACGATAGAGGTAATACCAGGGAGCGCGTCAGAAACCAATCCATTCGAGATCGGCGGGGAATCTTTGGACACCGCGAAACAGCTGAGCCAAACTAGTTTGGAGGGGCCGGCAAATGTAGCAGCGGCTGGTTCCTCGAAGGAAGGACACTTCGGCAGTTTCGAAACGATCGCACAAATGAAGTACAGCGGCCAGAAAGAATTATCCAGTAGTTCTAACAAGAGATCAGAGTCGGATAGCGATGTGCAAATTCAAACATCGATAATCGGCGAGGATGCATCGTATCAGGAATTGTCTTTGATCGGAAATGGCGCCTATGGCACGGTGTACAAGGCTAAAGACTTGAATACGGGACAAGTGGTAGCTTTAAAAAAAGTTAGAGTGCCCCTGACGGCGGATGGTCTACCTACGTCCACGTTAAGAGAAATAGCCACTTTGAAACAACTGGAAAGATTCGAGCATCCGCACATTGTAAGTCTCGCTATTATTATGTGTATTGGTAATGCCGTTTCTATTTGGATTTATACTCACATTCTTTGTTATGCATGCAGGTAAGATTATTGGACGTTTGTCAAGGGAATTATCTACACTTGCCTTCTGCCGATGGAAGATCGGAGAGATTGGATCGAGGACTGACATTATGGCTTGTGTTCGAGCACGTGGAAAGGGATCTAGCATCTTACATGTCCTCTTGTTCGCAGACAGGAATTCCTCCTCATGTGGTGAAACAAATGTCGAAGGAAATACTCAGAGGTGTAGAATTTTTACACAGTCACAGGATCATACACAGGGACTTGAAACCTCAAAATCTGTTGGTAACCAGGGAAGGAAGAATAAAAATTGCAGATTTTGGTTTAGCGAAAACGTACGATTTTGAAATGAGATTGACTTCTGTGGTAGGTTGATATCACAGTAGTAATATTATTCATAATTTTATGTTTTAATACTAAATCGTAGAAATTATTGTATTGCATAGGTCGTGACACAATGGTATCGGGCTCCAGAAGTCCTCTTAGGTTGCTCTTATGCAACTCCTGTTGATATTTGGTCTGTTGGATGCATTCTAGCAGAATTAAGTAGACTTGAACCTTTATTTCCTGGTACGAGCGAAGGTGACCAACTCGATAGGATTTTCCAGTATGTTAATAAAGATATTCGACATTTCTTTGGAGAGAATGATTTGAGAAACTGAATTGAACTGATTGCTTTTACAGAATAATTGGAACTCCATCGCAAGGGGAATGGCCTGAAAATGTATCTCTTAGTTGGACAGCTTTTCCTTATAGACAACCAAAATCTTTTGCAACTATAATATCTGATCTCAACGAATATGGGCTAGATTTAATTAAAGGTATGCTTACCTTTAATCCTCATAGACGATTAACTGCGGCTCAAGCCCTCAGACATCGGTATTTTGCTGAAGATGATTCGTGATGATTAGTTTTCTTGAGTATTTTTTCTTCATCTTTAATAATTTTTTAAATGCAGACTGATGTTACGGTATCCAAAAATACGTAAGCATGTTATTTTATTTTTTTTTTAGTATAAGAATCATAGTACTTTTCTTTTTTTAGAAAATAATATAGTTTATTACGAATATAATACACGAATATGAATCTTCGTAATTATGTACGGCTTATAAATATTCCTTTCTTATTGAGGAATTATAATTGCAAAATACGTTTACTACAGTTTATGAAACCATCGTTATATTTAAATTCTATAGCTATTGCATTTGAAAGATCATCGTAATTTAAGTGTATATATATATATATATATATATATATATA